TAGCCACTTCGTTTTTGTTGAATTCAGTTCATTTTCCAGTAACGTTTCTAGGCCATGTACATGTTGGTCATGTAGGACAAACGTTATATGATGGGATGGACATATGACGTGACCGAAATGTCCACAAACATTGAGGTGGATATGTTGATGGCAAACCAAGAAAGTCGTGTCAAATGAGCAGGAATCTACATCATGCCTGTCATGATGAACATGGTGATGATCTAGTCTGTTCAGTTATAACGGTGCCGTATTCCAGTGGGGGTATACCGTCACCACAGGTTCGTATGGCAATTGCGATATGGGGAATGAGAGACACTGAGAGACATCAGCGGGGGCTCAATAATTACAATCAACAACAATCACATTATTTCATTCCAGTGTGTAATCAATTCACAGAAGCCATCTTGACAAGCCATGAGACTTGCCTTCCCATAATGTATTTCAACATAATCAGACTGATACATTGTCCCGTTACATAGTCATCTTTTTCTGTTTTGTGTCAGAGTTTTGTTAGAGCTGAAGGACCATGCTAACATTCTTCCTAAGAAAGTCAAGACGGAAGATGACTCACAGGATGATGACCAGCCACATTACCTCAAGATAGAATGTCAACAAGTTGTGGTAAATACTTAATTTGTATTAGAGCCAAAATATAATCATTCTTAATCTTTAATTCGCCTAATTGTTTTGTCGATAAATGCACACCCAAATGTCTTGTGACCATAGTATCATAGGCATCACATTATTTTGTGTGCATCATGGTGTGTGCTGGATGTTGGGTTTGAGAAATTAATTGGATTCCTTTTGTCAGCTGGTTAATTAGCTGTTTTAGTTGCCCTGGTAATATTGATGTTGTTTGCAATTGTCTTTCTTTTTCATGACAGGATGAATTTAAGAAGTTGAAGTTTGCCTTTGTCCATCTTCAGGCCCACATTAAGCTGCTGGACTACTTGGAGAATGTTCCGAAGGACCAGTGGCCCTCTGTGGCATCTTGTGGTGAGATGGAGATTGGAGAAGAACACCCCGAAAACTCTCTGCCCCTTATGCTCTGGGGTTCGTCGTCCACGAGGACGACGAGCCCCACAGTTCCAGGGGTAGGAAACCATCCACATCGTTTGGTTGCTTTGATTTCTAAAATCAGACTTCATAAACTTACACACTCATCATGTTCACTCACTTTACAACTTGATACAGCTTTTTTTTCAAACTGAACTTGTTTTCCAGACGAGGAATCTAAGAAGATCCGTCGACAGCTCAAGGAAGCGAAGGCAAAGACAGAAGATCTTGAAGAACATATTCAGGACTTGATGAAGTCCGTGAAGAATTGTGAGCTGCAAGAAAAATGGTTACCTACACTAGATGTTAGTTGTAGAACGATTGTGTATTGAGTCACAGGCTACCATGCACTGATACTATTTTGCCAAAGACTTCTTGAGCCGTGTCCAAATGACTTGGCTACAGCTTGAAAATAATGCACGTGTCCATAGAAAATGCAGAAAGCTAGTAGCCTCATGTTTTTTGGTACTTCTAAAGGTCAGGAAACATTAAATGCCAAGCTGGTATCGTTTGAGAAGATGATCAAGGAGACCGAAGATAGGGCAGTTGAGGTTGAGCAACTTGTGAGAACGAGAAGTGGTGCATTGGCAGAGCTTGAAGGCAGCGGGGTGACACTAGAGAACTTCCAAGCTGAGTACGCCAAACAGGTCAGATGTAGGAGGGTATAGGCTGCAGTGTAAAAACATTATTATTCTACTGGACAGTTTCCATTGCGTGCAAAACTTAGGACTCTTCAGAAAGTCCTTTTCAAATGAATATGAAATCTGCAATACCCCTTTGAAATCTGTTCAGAGGTTTTCTTCACTTTTGTTCTAATCTTCAGTTTTATTTTGTGAGTATGCATTTGATAATATTTATACATCTGGAGGAAACTTTACAAACCTCAGGAACAAATGTTTGAAATTGTTATTTTGGTGCGTGGTGGAAAACCTGAAAAGAAATAATAATGATAATAATTGACATTTACAAAGCGCCCAATCCATCAAGCTGCTCCCAGGCGCTGTACATCAGTACAAGTATAAATAAAGAAATACATAACTAAATGAATGAATAAATAAATAAGAAATAAATAAAACCTACATGTACCGCAGTTAAAATCAATACTAAGAAACTAAAGAAAGGCTCTGGAAATCAAGCTGTACATTGAATGGGAGGTTAATTTATGTCTAACTGATGAGATGCATTTCACCCAGGATGAGGGCCTTAAAGCAGCAAAAGACTTCTTGGCACACTGTCAGCCAGTGGTGAGACATATGAAAGAGGGTACAGAAAACCTGCACAAAGAGAAGGAGTCACTGATGGAAGACACCAAGGCAGTCATGGAGACAGTGTCAGAATATAGGGCCGAGAAAGAGAGCAGGGAACAGCAGCTTGTTGACAAGATGAAATGGTGAGTGGTTTGGGTTACTGTCTAAATGCCGTACTGTCAGTTGTTAAAATTTGATCACCAACACTGAAATCCCCAGATTAGCTCTGTGTTTGCTTAATTTTGTGATGAGGCAGAAGCCCTGATCGTGAGTTAGGGAAGCGAAGTTAAGAAAAAAAGCCTTTTTCAACCATGGCTTCCAGGTGTGAATCAGCATCTAAAATGTTGAAGCAGCTGACGGGGGTATCTGAGCGATCTCTTGACGAGAACTGCTGGACCCTGGAGCTCTCGACTGATGACAGTTACCTAGGCAACAAGGAGAGTATGACGGCTTTGCTAGCCTTACACTTCAAGGAAGCCAAGAACCCTTGGTCATCCAGGCAGCTCGAAGCTGCCAAGGTAAGGTATCATGGTTTTTGTTCAAGTTTTATGAAACTCTTGGAATAGTCTAAGAAAAAATTTGACATTTCACCATTTTATTCCTCATCCATGTGACCAGATTGACATCGATACACTTGATATATCGGACCTTGTAGAGGAGGCTGTCAGGAGAAACGATGCGGTCTTTCTGGTCTCATCAGTGATGAAAAGACTAAAAACCCACGCCCCCCTCTACATGGAAGTGGAACTCCTCCGGCATCAGTGAGTTTATTAGAAGAACCCATCAATTTTAGGGGAATTTTGAAAGTACAGGTGCAGCAAAAGGGAGTTAAAAAAAAGAAGAAAATTCCAGGTCTTGAACATTTTATTCAAAGCGTTTTTGCAATTTTGATCTTGCCCTGAGTTATATTCATCCTTTTTCAAACTTCATGTGAATTTACTGGCAAAACAAGAGTAATTTTAATGGCAAACTTTACATTTCTCCAATTTCGTCGTAATTTTTCTTACTTTGGGACTTGAGTTGAAAACGGCACATTAAAAAAGTGGTTGGTGTGTTGAAATTTGAATACCGGGAGCATTGTAATGATGCAACATCTTCCTCGGCAACAAGATTTCTAAGAAATCCATTTTCACTCTCTGTTTGCTTCCAGGTACGCCATAGACTGGGTGTCGGAAGAGGGCATACTACGCGTTATATTTGGTGACAGTGCCCAGATTGTTTGCACCTTGTCCTTAACTACCGGACCTCAGGGGAGAACTATGGTCCAGTTGAAATCGCTTGAAGGGGTGAAACAGCACCCACCCATTCAAGAATTGAAGGTCGGTGAATATACTCAATATCTCTCAATTTGTTATTCCTTCGTGTACGTGTCCTTAAACTTGTACAGTTATACGTAATCCGATTTCCAGATAAATCATCAACATGAATACACGTTAGGCATTGAAATGCTCTGTTTATATTCACTCCTAGGCTGCTGGTTGTTTGTCTTGTGACTGTCAGACCAGCTTCACCTTTTGTCCATTTCAACCCATCAGTTGTGGCTAATATGTCCTTACCATTGTTGATTTTTTTGGTGTGTTTGTCAGTTGTGGCCAATTTCAGAGTTCTAGGTTGGCTTTTCAAAACTTTGTCCACTCGTTTTTAAATAATGTGTTTATTTTTGTCACTTACAGCCCTCTTGTGAAGAGCCAAAGATTTCTGACTGGTTGGAGTTCCTTAAAGATGCCACCCAAGACATGTAGCTGTTAGCCTGACCGACCAAAACATTATTTGAACCCATTGACTCTGTTGTGAAACTACTGAGGGCGCTATTTGGCTTTCTGACAAGAGCTGAGCTTGGGCCCTTCGTTTGATGACCACATTAAAACTGTTTTATACATGTACTTGTTAAAAGTCAAGTACAGCAAACTAACACATACTGCACTGTATTTGTGAATGATTTCTGGTTGCATGTCCTTGATTGGTAGGGGGATAACGGTTTGTTTAATCATGGTTTTTTTATAAACACCATTGAAAGAACACAGTACATGTAACAATGATGCTTTGTTGAGTGCTTAGCTAATTTGCCTGACCTAAATTTGTCATTACTATGTATGACGTTTTCTTTAAACAGTTTCGTGTTTTGGTTTTCTTTTTTGGGAATAAAAATAATCACTGATAGACTTGTCATTTGTATGCATCTTTTTGCCATCCTCGAGGATCTTTCAAACTCCAATAAACATGGCTTGGAGGGGGTATTTCGAAACGAACTTAATTGCCACAGGGTCAGAAATATTTCAGAGAAAATAAAACAATTTCCTCCTGTGGTTTATTGGAAATGAGTGTTGTTTGTGCCTTGAAATGCAGTTACCTAAGAAATTAGTAAAAAAAAAAGTTTTTTAATCAGGAATTTACTGATACGTTTAGTCATGTACATGTAATTCCTTTATCCAAAAGAGTAAAAAACAAAAATTTGGGGGGGAAAAAAACTCTTGCCCCGTGTGAGGCTCGAACTCACGACCTTCAGATTATGAGACTGACGCGCTGCCGACTGCGCCAACGAGGCAGTTGATAATGCAGGGAAATCCAAATTACTTGTAGATTGCACAAATTCTTGCGTCACTTGACGCGTGCGCAGTATTTGTTCGTTGGTCCCAACCGTTCACACAACGTTTGAAGCTTTGTGCATGTGGTGTGTGCGTAATATACTAGGTTGCAGATACCAACAATTTACGACTTTCGTAGAAATTGGAAAGCCACGCATTCGCACGAGGTGTTCTTGTTCGATTTTCGTGCGTTTAGTCGAAGATTAGAAGTACTTTTATCAGAAGTAAGTTTTGTTCAGTAATGATGTAAATAATAGTCATGTTAAATGTGTATTTCTGTTGTAGAAAGGACTTTTGGATGCTTTTATTTTGGCCTCGCAAAAAGGATAGTCTCAGTACCGTCATGGCAGTCGACAATGTCAGTAGGCTAGTCAGTGTTGTTAGATGTCATCAGATTCAGTGCTTCAAAGTCACTCCACCCCATTTCCACTTCGCCCCGTCCGTGCTCGAGGGTGTTACAAGCACAAGCCTCTTAAATATTGTCGAGAGAGGAGTTCACAAGCGGCATGGATAGCATAGGCCTACATCAGTACATGTACATGTTTCTAGAAACGAAGTGGCTATCGTTACGGCAGCCATAACGCATCTCCCATTTTCTATCATTATGGCACTGAACTGCCATGACTGCGCAAGTGCGATGACGCAGCTGATCATCATGATGGTATATATATTTAAAATTACCTGGATCGCTGCACACTTGTTCCCGAGTGGTTAAGGTGGAAGGTTTGGAACCAATGGTGTGTGAGTTCGAATCTGTGCTTGGACTCTTTTAATTCGCCTAAGCATCATGTTTTATACCATAATTGTTTTTATGTTGGTTTCTAGTTGTAGAGGCCTAAGCAGGAATCTTTTTCTTTTCACATCGGAGGCTTTGGAGGATTTTTTTGCAAGTTGGATTCTCCGACCATTATGAGTGATGGAAATAGCTGGATTTGTGTCGCAATATGTGATACATTTTGCGCAAAAAGCAAGACAAACATGAAACTGATGTGCAGTTTTTGATAATGGAAATTTCTATTAAAATCATGCGTGAATGACCTATACAACGCACCTCCGCCGTCAACCGTGCACACGGCGAGCTCGCAGCGCAGATTGGAAACCAGCCCGCGCTAGCGGCTTCACAGCAAAATGAAATGTTTGACAAAACAAACTCACCCCTAGTTTCTTGTCCTAGTTTCCCACAGCCCAAGGCCCACAGATCGTGGAGAAACGAGGTTGCTGCAATTTGGTGGGATTATATAGCACGTGTGGTTCGGTACAGTGCAGTACGAGTGCGCACATGTACATTCAATACGTGATAACGGGCCTTGGCCGTCGGTACCTTCCCATTTGGCTGTGATACCTCCGAAAAGTGAGCATGTTTCACCGCCAAGATGGCAGTGCCTTTTTTTTTCTTTTCACCTTAGTACCTTACACGTGCATATCGACTGCCCCTGTTCAGCGAGGGACACGGAAAGCGGCCTGGAAAGTGACATACACATCATTCCGTGATCGCTCACATTCGACTGGAACACCGCGCAGCGCCACCCAAACATTTGGCATGCATGCATATACAGAGTGTTCGTGCACTGAGTGTATATTGGGAATATGGTACACTCAGCCTGGCCTGCTGTGCGCTGGCGGCCCGCTCTATCCACACACACTGCACAATTGCAAGCCGGTCACAGGCAACACCCGCCGGCCTATCCAACGACTTAACATAACAGCGCATGCCCTAGCCGAGGCCCATGGAAAAAGTGGACATGCTGGAAAAATAGCAATGCTCATACAATTTGGCCATGGTCCAGTTATCAATGTGATGGGTGCGATCAGTCCATCAGCATAATCACATGATCACCTTGTGCTATCACTTGATCATGTGTTGAGATCTCTGACTTTACCACCTGTTTATTGTCTTTTTTTGCAATGTATAAATAATCTGCTACCACAAGGTAGAAAGAAAAGGCGATTGGCTGGTGGCAGGGTTGTTGGCAACTGTCCAAAAAGAAAACAAACATATTGTACAAATATTGAGTAATCACGCAGATAGACCAATCGCCCTTAACCCTAACAGTCCCGAATGCTACAAAGTACTACTTAGTAGTAAAATGTAGTACTCAGCCCTGTCGCTTGTAAGAGGACATGACATTATTATTCTCTGAAGCCATAAAATACCATAGAGAAGACAATGTACTGTACAGTGCTGTGGCACTATGAATGCATGGTTTCATTGTTCTCTGTACGAGTAACAATGGAATAAACCTAGCCAGAAATAGTAATTTGTAGTGCTAGGTCCTTCAGGCTCAGAGTGTTACGTAGTATTTTGTAGTACTGAGTACTCTAAGCCAAACAACGCCCGGCACTGTTGGGGTTAATGGATTCATCACTCTGTCTGTGATATGGTGGACGATTTTCAAAGTTAAGAAAAAATTTTGATATCTCTTCCCTCTCTCAATTAGATCCTGAGTAAAGCAGTTATGTTTCAGCATCAGGGCTCCAATTTTATGATGGACCCTCCCTCGTCGTTTGGTGGCATGGGAGGAGGAGGCGGTTCATTCAATGGAATGGGAGGGGGCGGAGGTAATTTTGGAGGTGGGAATTTCAGTGGCGATGTTGGCTTTTTGTCAGGACAGAATCCACCCCTTCCATCAGGAAACAATGGTATGGAAGGCAACGACTTCTTTGGCGGAGGTGGTAGTTTGGGATTTGGAGGTGGCATGAACAGGGGAGGTGGGATGAACGCAGGTGGATTTGGTGGGGGCGGAGCAAGAGGGGGGCTGAGGGGAGGCGGAGCTCGGGGGGGAGGCGGAGCCCGTGGGGGAGGCCCCGGGCGAGGTGGAGGAGGGTTTGGACAGAGCGGCTCATCAGGGCGGTTTGGAGGAGGGGCGTCTGGTAGAGGCAATGGAGGAGGTATGAGGGGCGGCGCTGGGAGAGGCATGGGAGCCAGCAGAGGTGCATTAGGGGGACATGGTGCCTCACAAGGGCCTCCGAGGGGAGGGGCATCAAGGGGAGGTGCAAGTGGAGGAGGGAGTATGAAGCTTGATACTCCGTCGGAGTCGGGATATCTACAGGATCACAAGGGTCATTTCCCTGATGAGTACTGGTGCAAGGTTAGTTGCAAGTTCAGCAACCAATCAATTATCATGTATGTACAAATTTGATCAGGGCTTGCAGTCTGTCAATTGTTTCAACGTAGGATATGCTCAGAGGTGTCAGAAAAGCACCAGAAGGAGACTCACCATATCTAGAAAGACAAACCATCATCAAACTCTGCGATCATTATGGATTCAAGCAGTTGGAATGGGTGACAAACATCAATTTGTGGTCTTGAATCAGGATTCTATTTCAGTTTACCAGGGCAGCCCCATCAGTTATCAATGAACTGTTCTTACTAGGGGCCCTGTCATACAAAGATGAAACAATATGGACCAGGAATGGATAAGAAAATCAGTGAAGTGGTTTATCCTCAAGCCTGCCTTTTTCTTCTCAATTCACAGCTCTGCAATGCTAAAACAACCGGGCCAAACAACTACCAAGCCCACTTGAATGGGGTGCGTCATAAACAGGTATGGGCCTCCATGTAGTAGTGACACTTTCATCCACAACACAGATTTGGCGGATGAGTTCAGTTCTAATGACTTCTATAATTTCCCTGTCCTGACAGTTTACAATGAAATTGTGTTCCCGATAGCTTCACAAGTCTACAGGCCGGTTCATAATGTAGGGGAACATGAAAGCGAATATAACGTCATGGAAAAATTCGCAGCAAAATTTCAGTGGGGATGAAATGTGTTCAACCTTTACGAATTCGCGATGCGAATATTTTATCTGACACTGCGTTTGAGCATAGTATGAACCAGCCTCAAGACTGATGCATTGCCCAAACGTGATAAGTGTACGGAAAAGCACACCAGTTCGGCAGATCATTCTATGATTGGCTGAGCGGTGTTTTTTAATTGACCATTCAGGTAGCTCATAGAAACCAAATGCCCCACTGTGCTCTGTGTGTGTGTGTGTGGCAATCCAACACACAGACCTGATGAATTGTGATGGAATGAGTAGCCATTGCAAACTCTGCGCTGCAAGATGTGGGTAGATTTGAGCATCGACTGTAGCATCCCGCATGCTACTAATATGTCACATTGGGGTTGGAAAGGAAGGGTACCTAATTCAAATGGCAACAGGGTGGGTTTATTGTTAACTTTATAAGAAGGTTAGGATTAAAATGTGGATGTTATGTACATCCAATTCCTGTTACTTTATAATGTATCCATACTGCTGCGGTTACTAAGTAAAATGTCATAACCAATAGAGGAGCAAATTAGGTAGATGTGTCCAATTTTCAAAGTTTTTGCACCATTGCTTTCATATTTCATTTGGTGCAATGTTGTCATCAAAAATCATGACTCGTGTGGTTCCTAGATTGTATACAGGTGTTAAATTGGCAAAGATGATGGCATCATCTAGCGTCCTGATCCATTGACTAGTTGGGTTTGTAAACGCAACAAAATTCAACGTCATGTAGTTCTGTAATGCTTCACGGCACGTGTAGTTGGCTACACTGTCCAACTACTGTGTCTTCGTCTACAGAACCAAGTTGAGTTTTCTTATCTCCAGAACTTTGTAACATACCGTGTACATTCATAGTTCCATTTCCACAGCATGCAGTTCAAGGACTCAAGCCAGAACTGACAAAGGTTGCATAGCCAACTGGTTTTTATTCCTCCCACCCTACCCCCCAGTGTTTAACCAAGATTGGTTAATGTCTTGATCTTAGCCTGTATAGATAATAGGAACCACACTCAATATTCAACATTTTTGATCTCGAGTTTTGCCTTTGCTTGTGCTGTTTGGAGCTCAAGGAGCATTCCTTCCCTAGTGGGAGTAAGCAACTGGGCAATTCCATCCCTAATCTGATTGTGTTTTCTCTTTTCCCCCCTCTGCATTTAGAATGTCTTGAACCTTCAAAATGGCGGTGAGTGGACGGGTGCAGAGTTTTGATTTTGTCAAAATCATAGCTGCAACCCCTGAGCCCACGAATCAAATGTTAAATCTCTCTATGGAAAATACCCAAGGGACAGTAAGCAGACTGGTATTTTGCCTTTGCAGAATACCAGGGAAGTCCATTAATATGCAAGTATGCCTGTATAGACACCAGCTATTCCGTTTAGCTGGTCACCCACAACAAAGAGGCCAGTTCATTGTCCGTCGCATGAAACCCACTAATTATATTGTCATCTCAGCTCAGTTTCAGTCTGTCAGTGGACAAAGTTCAATCAACTGAACTTTGACCTTGTCAGCAATCCTAATTCTCCAAGTCAATAGGTGCGCAGGATTTACATGATGTCGTCAGTTATGCAAATCCTCTGGGTCGGTGAATGAATTGTGTTGCAATCAGAGAATTTGTTGCCAAGGCAACAGGGAGTTGTGAATATCACAACAAGATGTCAAAAAACTTGCAACCTACAAGAATCGCGGACCTTATCATTTAAAAAGCCCATTATTTCATCATGCGACTGACTTTAAACTGGCCTGAGAACATATTTGTTGAACGTCATTCTATTTTTCTACAAAATGGATGAATCCACTTCCTGCACAAATTCATGTTAGCTTGAGTACATTTTATGCTTGGTTTGGAAATTCTTAATCTCTGAAAACATTTTACTTTACATGGTAATACCTCACAATAACTCATACTTTTCGTCTTACTACATAAAGATCATGCTTTTGTGGGAATGGTGCAATTGTACCATTTTTTTTTTCAGAGGAAAATGTACAAGTAAACAGTTCTGATCAACAAAGCATCTTTTATTCAACATTGTGGTTGTATTTGATGTGCTTAACCTGTATAAATATTTGAGGTTGTACCCTCTGTAAGACAAGTTATTTATATCATTTGTATGAATAACTTGGCAATTAGAGACCAGCATGTGGTCTGTAATTGGAGCCAAGAACTATGTTGACTAACCTGAATCTGGCAATCCAACGAGGGAAATTTGTGACTAGTGTTCCCTTGAGGACACAATTGCAAATTCTTCCCCTGTCACTAAAAATGAATGCAGTTCTATTGAACTAATCAGAAACATTGAAATAAATAACCAACCTACTGTTTAATTACAAAGGTAAAAACATGATTTGGGGAGAGCAGTAGACAGCGTAACTTTTTAAGTAAACTTAATGGTTGGAACTGTAGGCAGCGGTGCTAAAACAGTTGAAATATAGGTTGGTCAGACCTGAAATGTACAGTACAAAATTGTGGTTGTCATTTAGTAACAGAAGCATGTGTGGTCTTGGTTTGACTAGAGCCTCCTGTTAAGGTGGGACCGTTGGCACAGCGAAAGAGGAAACGAGAAATGGAGAACACCGAGAAGAAGGTGTTGTCTGAGATGCTGCCTCAAAACAAGGAGCCGGTCGTTGGTAAGAATGATTTGAAAACCAAGGTCCTAAAATCTCTGATTGTGGTAGTCTCTTCCTGCAAACTAATAGGGGGAGATTGGAGTCTTGCCCCCACTTTTGAAGAATGCAACAAATTTTCAGTCCATTTGTAATAAACAGTCTGTCCACTCTCAGAACAGTTATTTGTGCTGACATGGAGGTGAGCGTTGTGTTTGCACAACATTTTAGATTTCCTTTCTTGTGTCTTGTCTTCTAAAAGTGACATCAATTCAACTTTCTGTACCTTGAGGAGTTGAATTTCACTTACCGTCGGACTCCCTCAGAAGTATATGGCTCCCCAAAATCTTCAAATTTCTCATCTGAACAGTCCATTTTCTGTTTTTTTGTAACTAGGATTGGAATTTGTGACAGAGATCATTCGCGAAGGAAGTGATTCAGACCCAGATTATGAGTGTGAGCTGTGTGACTGCCGTACCTTACAAGGCAACATCATCTATCATCTGATTGGCTACCGCCATCGCATGGCCTATGTTGTAAGAATCTTTGCCAGCTTACACAGGCTGATATCACAGACCTGCAAATATATCACTTGCCGAGCACATGACAGGTTACCCGCAACATTGCAGTGCTGTGCATATTGATCAAGACTGGTTCTTAATATTTTTGCTTGACAGATAAATTCGTTGAGCCATCGTATTATCCTTTGGTGGCTCTTTAAAGTTAAAATGGAACAGTTCTATTCAAAAGTGGTAAACATTGAAAAATGTAGCAGTTTTCATCAAACATTGTATATCTCGTAAAGAATACTCATATCAATAATAATAACAACAGGGTTGCACTTACCATCACTATTACCCCTGCTCACTGTGCCCATGAAACATTCCATATGCCCTCAGCTCGATGCTGCCATTTCGGTGCAATGCAGCTAAATCAACCACAGTAACCATCTCTGCCCTCACAGGGTACCCAATTACTCCTGGGTGGAGATAGGCAATGAGTGACAAAGTGCCTTGCCCAAAGGCACACGCACCATGGCCCCTGGCTGGATTCAAACCCGCAACCTGCGCGGCATTACCCGCTGACTGTGAATGCAGTGCTCTTACCCTCAAGGTCACGGCATTCCACTCCAATCAGAAAACCACCTCTGAAACTTTCTTGAAGACTGAAAAGGGAAGAAATGAAAGGCCCTTTTGAGAAACATTTATCTCAACAGACTTCCGCTTCTCAGTTTACTCAAGCTAGTTCGCAACTGCACAGAATCTTAGGAGAGAAAAAGTTAGTGTCTACATTGGAACCTGTGTTGTCCAGTATAAAGAATCCAGCCCTCTTGCAGTTCTGTTGATTGTAAAGAAGGGTAGAGTACGTTAACTTGATAAGGACCGTAGTGACCCTCTTATTTGACAGAAACTGAAAAAGCCAGACGTTGCTGAGATGCTGGACAACCTGGCCAACGTGGAAGAAGATGCGCCGAAGGAGGAGGACGGAACCAAAAAAATGACCCCGGAGGAAGAGGAGGCCAGTAAGAAGAGGGCTACTCGCAATAAGATCAGCGAGAAACTGAAGCAGATCATTCCCAAGATTGCCAGCGAGTGTTGTAACATGACCCACAAAGTCAAGAGGGTGAAAGCAGAAAACTTGGGAGTCCCAGGTAAAATAGTTTGTTTGTAAGTACTATCTGTAGCCTGATAGAGCTCGGAAATCTTCCACATTCACAAACTAAAATTACACTTTTCAAAATTCCTAAAAGTTGTCAAGATCTGTAAGTGTATGTATTCATGTGTGTGTAGCTTCATCTTTACCCCTTAGGTCCTTTTTGCTAAGGCATATCCTGAATCCTTCAAAATCCTCTGATTACCCTGCCAAAATCCCAAATCCTCTGATATTTCTGGAATAGCTCCTTGGAGGGGTGACCTTTTCCTCAATCCTTCCAAATCCTCTGGAAATTCCTATCATTATGTCGGGGCAGTGGGAATGGTATCCTCGAGCGATATTGTTTGGCATGTCAGAGCATAAACAACACAAGGTCTACCCCAAAACATTAACACAGTACATCCTTCACAATCCTCCCAAACTGCTTGAAGGAGTTTGGAGAATTGAGGGTGGTTAGGGTTAAAAGGAAAGATCGTATAGCACCACATAGCGGCGCAAGATGGGGAACTTCACCATGAATACGTGTAAAACGTTGTTATCACATGGGCGCCATTCTGGTTGGACTATGACAGCGCAGTGCATGTTAATGCGCAGGCACCGCGACAGGCACGCACACACGTAAATGTTCACACTCGAATGGCGCCCATGTTGATAACACCTTTATGGCCGAATTACTCATCTTGGGCTGCTATGCGGCGCTATATAATCTTTGGTTAAAAGTATAGTTTTTAGTTCAGTGTGTAATGCCACTGTCTTGTTATTCCAACTGACAGTTCCTAAGAAGCCAGTGCCCACAGCCAGTGCTAAAAACTACACCCAGAATCTGCAAAGTGGTGCTGGAGGTCGGGGTGGTGGTGCTGGAAGTCGTGGTGGTAGTTTTGGAGGTCGTGGTGGTGCTGCCGGGGGCTTTGGAGGTCGCGGTGGTGCAGCGGGGGGTTTCGGAGGTACCTCA